ACATCAAGAGGCCTAGGATGTCACTCTCTCCTTACTGGTGATGTTAACTGGTTAAGGTAGTATCGGCCAGTTTTCTCTACTGTAAATTTCTTATTTTCTCCTTATAATTAATAAGTATCCCGTGCAGAGATACTTTGAGACCAGGCAAAACCCTGCTTCTTCTCATCATATTTTACCCATTAACTTTTATAATCCATTAATAATTCTTTTTTTGGTGATACTGGGGTTTGAACTCAGGTTTTCACGCTTGTTAGGCAGGTGCTCTACCAGCCCTTTTTTGTGATGGGTATTTTCAAGATAAGATCCTGTAAAATATTTGCCCAGGATGGCTTTGAACATTCATCCTCCTGAACTCTGCCTTCTGAGTGGCTAGAATGACAGGCATGAGCCACAGGCACGTGGTTCATTAATGATTCTTACCTATAACTATTATACCCTGGTATTAGTCAAATGGTGATTTTCTATTTCTTTCTTTTTTTTTGGTGGTTTAGGGTTTGAACTTATATGGCCTGATGCTTACCAGGCAGGCATTCTACCACTTGAGCCATGCCCCTAGCCCAGTTTTCTATTTTATTTTTCCATGCTGGGGTTTGAACTCAGGGCCTACATCTTGAGTCACTCCACCAGTCCTTTTTTGAGATGGGTTTTTCTCGAGATAGGGTTTTGCGAACTATTTGCCCAAGCTGGCTTCAAACCATGATCCCCCTGAATCTCTGCCTCCTGAGTAGCGACTGAGTACATTCGTGAGCACCGGCACCCAGCCCAGTTTTCTATTTATTGACTAGAATTCTACTCTAAGAGAGACTCCTCCTTTTTCATTTATCTACATCGGTATGGACTTATAATCCATTCTTCTCATTATTTATTATGCTGCTCATATTGTTCCTAAGCTGGCCACTGGATGTTCCTTCAAGTTGGTTTCTGTGATGTTGTAATATCACTATAGTTTTCTTCTGAGTAGTTCCTTACTTTCTGACACTACAAGATGTTCCAGGCTCATACTAGAGTTTTCTGCTCCAGCCCTGGAATCAGCCACTTCTCCAGGGATTCCTGGTTCCTTTCTTGGGAGAATAAAAAACCACTGGAGCTGGACTCGCTTTGCTAAATCGATGCCATTGCTACTCCAACCTCTGGTGGATAGAGCTGAGAAATACACGCACAGGAACAGAACAATTGGCTATATTTACACATCATGCAGAAAAAGTTCAGCAACTTGTGCAACTTAGCAGAGCAAAGATGCAGAAGAACTGGGAAATCACAATAATGACAGCTGTACTGTAAGTCCTAACAAGTGGAAGTAATTTCTTTCCACATACCTGTCAGCACAAAGTCACAAGCCTAAGATTCCAGCATAAGAACTAGCTTTAAATAATAACCAGAAGTCCACAGCAACAAACACTGTGAGCACTGGGCACTCACAGTAGTTCATTTGTTCCTCACGATTCTGCAAGGCAGATATTACTATCCTCATTTTCCAAATCAGGAAATCAAAGATCAAACAAGCAAGTGAATTGTCCGAGACTGCATAGTTAAGTGACAGAGCCACTAGGTAACCCCCTGTCTATCTGTATATAAAGATCAGCTAATCAGTCAACTAATCAGATGTCAGTCAACTATTTTATTTACTTATTTATTTCTCAGTACTGGGATTTGAACTCAGGGCCCACACCTTGCACCACTCCACCAACCCTTTTTTGTGAAGGTTTTTTTTTCGAGATAGGGTCCTTTGAACTATTTGTCCCGGCCGGCTTTGAACCATGATCCTCCACCTCCTGAGTAGCTAGGATTATAAGCGTGAGCCACTGGTGCCTGGCTTCAACTAATTTTAGGTGGAACATAAATTTACTGTTTTTTTTTTATTTAATAGCTGTATGTTCATCTTAATGCACCTTAGGAAAAAAATCTAAGCATGCCTCAAATCTGTAATTTTATAGATCATATCACACAAGATAAGGCTGTTTCATAAAATATGAGGTGTATGAGGTGAACAATTGTAGAGGTGGTATAATCTGTAGAAAAAAATCTAAAGACAGTCCACAAACATCTGAGTTTTGGAAGAATAGTACTATAGTCCCTGCAGCTTCATTTCAGGGTCACCTAGGGCTGCAGAAAAAATATCTCACACCTGGGTTTAATCCTAAATGTATCACCCTTACTTCTGTAAACTTGGGCATTTCATTTGTTCTCTCAGGCCTTAGTTTCCCCATCTGAAAATAAAGGAAACAGTGATTTAATTAACATAGCACTTTGAAAAGCAGTTTGATAAAGACACTGAGAAACAAAAAAACTGTTCTTAACCTTTGAACAAATAATTCCACTTTGAGAGCACTCTCCGAGAGAGAGAGAGAGAGAGAGAGAGAGAGAGAGAGAGTTTTTATTTTCTTTCCCAAGAAAATAATCCAAAATTTGGAAATAGTTATAAGAATGAAGAACTTCATTTTTATGGTCGGTCTAAATATTCAGCAATGGAAGGACAGTTAAATAATGTGGAATGCATTTACTTTTGGGGAGTAATATGCAGTCACTTAAAATGGTTCATGAAGATGTCACAGCAATATGCTTTAAGAGGTAGAGGAAAACCAGGCACTGGTGGCTCACGCCTATAATCCCAGATACTCAGGAGGCAGAGATCAGGAGGATCATGGTTCAAAGCCAGCCCAGGAAAATAGTTTGCAAGACCCTATCTCAAAAGTACCCATCACAAAAAGGGTTGATGGGGAGGCTCAAGTGCTAGAGCACCTGCCTAACAAGTGTGAGGCCCTGAGTTCAAACCCCAGTGCCACCAAAAAAAAAAGAATAAGAAGAAGGGGAAAAAAAGAGAAATCTTCTCACATACTGTTGCTATCAAGAGATAAAGAAAACCAAATACAGGTAATAAAAATGCCAAAATACCAATAGTAATAATGAGTTATTTGTTGTGCTTTCTCCAATGTGGTTGTATTACAGTTAGAATAAAAAAAAAACTTCTCAATTAAAATTCAACCAAATAATCTACAAGATTTCTTCCAGCTCTAGTATTCTTCAGCCTTTCTCTGGAATGAGGAGAGGTCACATAAGAGTAAAATTGTAGAAAAAAATTAGATGGCAGGGGTCATGCCTGTCTAAATTATTGTAACAGTGCTCAAAACAACCCAGAAGAACATCTGAAAACTAGTGCTGGGCAAGTGATGCAACAGCTACCATCTGTGTGGCAGAAAGGGCGAGAGGCTGGGAAATAGGAGGTCCGAATAGAACCAGCTGATCTCCAAGGGCCTTCTTGTGCACCCAATTTACTGAAGAAACACTTACCAAACGCCTCCCTTGTGCCAGGACCTATGAGCTGAATGACTACTGAACTATGGGTTCTGAAACCGACAAACAACAAGGGTTTTATTTTAGCTTGCTTGGACTGTCATAACAAAATACCAGACAGGGTAACTTACACAATGAAAATTTTATTTTCTCACAGTTCTGGAGGCTGGAAATACAGGATCAAAGTATCAGCAGGCCACGCATTGGTGGCTCATGCCTATAATCCTAGCTACTTAGGACACAGAGATCAGGAGGATCATGGTTCGAAGCCAGCCCTGGCAAATAGTTCGGGAGACCCTATCTTGAAAAACCTATCACAAAAAATGGCTAGTGGAGTGGCTCAAGGTGTAGGCCCTGAGTTCAAACCCCATTCTACAAAAGGTGTCAGCAGGTTTAGTCTGTTCAAGGCCTTTCCCCTTGGCTTCCAAATGGTTGCTGTCTTAGTGTGAGCTGCTATAATAAAGAGCCATCCACAGGTGGCTTAGATACAATAGAAACTTATTTCTCATAGTTTTGTAGACAGCATTTCTGAGATCGGAGTGTCAGCATGATTGAGTTCTGGCAAGGGTTGTCTTCTGGATTGCAGATAGCCAACATCTCCTTTATCTTGACTTGGTGAAAAAAAGAATGAGAGAATTCTCTGGTGTCCCTATTATAAGGGCACGAATCTCATTCACAAGACTCTACGTTCATGACCTAATTACCTCCAAAAGCCCTACCTCCTAACACTACCACTTTGGGGGTTAGGATTTTAACATATAGATTTTAGGGGCACAAGAACATTCAGTTCATAACTGTTGTCTTGACTTGGGGTATGGCTCAAGTGGTAGAGCACTTGCCTAGCAAGTGTGAGGCCCTGAGTTCAAATTCCAGTACTGCCATAACAGTTGTCTTCTCCTCATATCCTCATATGGTTGTTCCTCTGTGTGTGCATATCCTTGGGGTGTTTTTTTGTTTTGTTATGTTTTTTTGCAGTATTGGGGCTTGAATTCAGGGCCTACACCTTGAGCCATTCCACCAGCCCTTTTTTTTTTTTCTCTCTCTCTTTTTCTTTTTTTTCTTTTTTTGTGATAAGGTTTTTTTTCCGAGATGGGGTCTCACATACTATTTGCCCGGGCTGGCTTCAAACTGAGATCCTCCTGATCCCTGCTTCCTGAGTAGCTAGGATTACAGGCATGGACTGGGGTATTTTGTATGTGTCCAAAGATCATTTTCTTACAAGGACATCAGTCAGATTGGATTAGAGCCCATCAAAACAGCCTAATTTTAACTTAATCACTTCTATAAAGGCCCTATCTCCAAATATAGTCATTCTGAAGTAATGGAAGTTAGGGCTTCACCATGTGAATTTTGGAGGATACAGTTCAGTCCATAACAGATTTCAAGTAATGAACTATAACTGCAATAACTGTTTGAATAAAATGGGAACCACATGAAGGCATAATTGATTTTGACAGGAAATACCAGGAACATAGGAGGTGTCATCTGGGCTCAGTTTCAGCTTGACTACTTCCGGTCTACAAGCCTTCATCTTTGATTATCATAGAAATAGTTTAGAACTGGACATGGTGATGGGTGCTTGTAGTCCCAACTACTCAGGAGGCTGACACAAGAGGATATCTTGAGCCCAGCCTAATTCGAGCTATACAGTAAGACCCTGTCTCCAAACATATATATTATATATCACAATACAGAGACAAGACCCCGGCATGGTGGTGCATGCCTGTAATTCCAGTTTCTTGAGAGGCTGAAGCAGAAGGATCACAAATGCCAGGGCTTGGAAAACTTAGCAAGAGCCTATCTCAACATAAAATCATAAAAAAATTTTTAAAGGCTGAGAGAGTAGCTTGATGGTAAAGTACATTCCTAATATTCACAAGACCCTGGGTTCAATCACCACCGGAAAAAAAATGGAGATAAGATAGAGTCAGATAATAAAGTGGCTTGGATAGAGACTAAAAGGGGAGTATATTTGTTCCAGAGGAACAAATGCAAATACCATCTTCTTAGTAGTTAAACTGGGATTGTGGATTCAAACACAACAACATGGAGGTCAGGTGGAAATTCTGATTTATAGAATAATCTGCTCCTTGCTCTCATCCATTAAGTCATGAGGACTTTAATGTGTAGGGGGAGAGGGTTACAGTCTTGACAACCCACACTCTATCCTCACTTCCATCCAAAAGCCATTCTTTTTCCACTTATCTTCAGCTAAACTTTTCTCTTTTTTTGTTGGTACTGGGGTTTGAACTCAGGGCCTCACACTTGCTAGGTAGGTGCTCTACACTTAAGTCACCCTGCCAGCTCCTTTCTGTGTTGTTTACTTTTGAGATAGGGTCTCTCAAACTATTTACCCGGGCTGGCTTTGAACCACCATCCTCCTGATCTTTGCCTCCTGAGTAGCTAGGATTACAGTGAGCCAATGCTTCTGGCTCCCAGTCAAACTTTTCTTTAGAGCACATTTTGAATCTCAGTTCCTTATCCATTTAAAATTCTCCTCTCTAGAAAAGCCCTAGATCCCCAAAGTGAAAAGGAAGGAGAAATGGAATTGTCCTGGCCTAGGTAGCACTAGGGACCTTTGGGGTGGGTGGAGACTTCCTTTCCAGTGCCTGGAATGACCTGTTTCCTTCCGACAGGGGTCGCAAGAGGCCAAAGGAACCAACGCCAAGTTTCTGGGAGGTGGCTCCCAGTAGGCAGCCAAGAATGTGAGTGCAAAGGTCAGTAATTCAGCATCAACAGGACAACAGTAACAATGCCAACCTGAGCCCAGCTCTGTCCCTTGAGCCCCTGGAACCAGTGCAGATGCTATCTGAGCTGACCCCCCAGCCCACCACACACAGCACCAATGCCTGCTTCCTTCCTGAGTCTGAGGCAAGAACTAGGGTCCTCCTTCTCCAAGGTCTACAAGGTCTAGGTGAGAGCCAGCTGTCCCTTCCCCCTTTATCCTTTTCCCAAAAAAACTCAGGCTGGAGCTGCCTTCCCAAAGGATTTGTACTTTTTCCTGGCCTTTCAAAAACATCCTGGATCCTCTTATCAGCTTTATTATACTCAAAGGAAAGACCAAAGCAGAGTGATAAAATGGCTTGCTCAAGGTAAAGCTAAAATAACATCTTGGTCTTACTCTTCATTCTTTGGTCTCCCCAATGATACCCCCATAGTCTCTCTAACCCTGACACTGGAAGTCCTGGGGCTCATGCAGCTGTATGTCTCCACTGTTTGGGGTTGACCCCTTTCCCATCCCGTTGCAATGTGAAAGAGAAACCAAAAGGCACAGAAGATGACAAGTAAAGCCCTGCCCAACTCCCCATCCTCAAACACACTATCCTCCTGTCTAAGCAGCCACCTGTTATTTCAGATTGGTTCCTGAGAGCCCCTAAAAGAAAACTCATGACAGTGCCCAGGCTGCAGGAGAAGTGTCCCTGTGATCACTCAAAAGGCAATGTGAAGAAAAACAGTAAGTCTTGAGAGAATGACCTTCCTTAAACCAGAGTCACTCCTGTGCAATCACTAGGGAGGAAGCAGAGGTTGAAAACAGACAAGAGAAATGAAATGAACACTAGGAAAACCACACATTTTAACACTCCTTTTCTTTTCTTTTGGCAGCACCAGGAGATTGAAATCAGAGCCTCACACTTTCTAGGCAGGCACTCTATCATTTGCGCCATTCTACCAGCCCTTTTATGTGATGGGTTTTTTCAAGATAGGGTCTCTCAAACTATTTGTGTGAGACTGGCTTCAAATTGCAATCCTCCTGATCTCTGCCTCCTGAGTAGCTAGGATTATAGGCGTCAGCCACCCAGACCAGCTCAGCCCTTTCTATTCAATGTCAATTTGTGGGAAAATAGGAGTCAGAAGAGCAGGGTACAATTATTCTGACACTAGAGATGTTTAGCCAAATTCCTAGATTCCAGAACTTAGTACTTATCAAAGTGGAAGGAGACAAGGCTGTTGGGACCTCATTATTGATTACTGAAGATGACACCTGTATCAATGTCAAACAGAATTTTACTTCTTCCTAATCTAACAGGGGTGTGTGTGTGTGTGTGTGTGTGTGTGTGTGTGTGTGTGTGTGTAAAGCAGGGAAGTTTATTGAGATAGAAAAATAGGAAACAATAGAGCTCCCACAGCTGGGAGATATCCCAAGAGAGGGTTCAATCTAGCAGTTGTTTTTTGGTTTTTGTTTTTTTGGGGGTTTTGGTAGCACAGGGGCTTAAACTCAGGGCCTTACGCTTTCTAAGCAGGAGCTCTACCACTTGAGCCACTCTGCCAGTCCATATTTGTGTTGGGTATTTTTTTGAGATAGGGTCTTGAGAACTATTTGCCCCAGGCTGGCTTCGAACCTCAATTCTCCTGATCTCTGCCTCCTGAGTAGCTAGGATTACAGGTATGAGTTACCTGTACCCAGCTCATTTTTGTTTTTTAAACTATTACATGTTTTTACCTACCAAAAGCTTTGGAAGAATATGAAGCAAACTATTAACAGTGGTTGGCTCTGGAGAGTATGGAGTAAATGTAGAGATGGTAGGAAGTCTTTTATTTTCTACTGGGTTTACTTTTCTTATTTTAATCTTTTCCACAGGATAAGTGTTACTCATATAATTTTAAAAGCTCTCATAAAAACTAAAATTTAAGCCAGGCACCAGTGTCTCATGCCTATAATCCTAGCTACTTGGGAGGCTGAGATCAGGAGGATTGAAGTTTGAGGTGAGCCTGGGCAAATAGTTCTTAAGACCCCATCTCCAAAATAACTAGAGCAAAATGGACTGGAGGTGTGGCTCAAGTGGTAGAGTACCTGCTTTGCAAGCATGAAGCCCTGAGTTCAAACTCCAGGTCTGCTCAAAATAATAATAATAACAATAATAATAATAATAATAATAATAAAATTAAAAACTGTTTTAACACTATCCTCCCCTTTATTTGCCCTCTAGGACACGGAAGACACCACAGGAAGCCAAACAAACACTCCAAAGCCTGCCAGCAATTTCTCAAACGATGTCAACTAGCAAGCTTTGCTCTGCCCTTATAGAAGTTCTGAGAGCCCACTTTTCCAATTATATACTCAGTCAAGGGGCAGCAGGCACCCCTAGAGTATTTCATATGCTCCCCACTCCCTGTCTGCACCTCCAAATCATTCCAATGCTCTCAAAAGCCATTTTCCCCAACATCATATTGATTATTACTTCTTCTACTGCCTTCTTCTCCTGTCCAGTCTTTTCCTGTGTCCACTCCTCATGCAGGCTTAAGCTTAATTACCTAAGGTCTAAGTTGACCTTAAATACAATCAGGAAAGTAGCAAACAGAAGCCAATAAATGTTTTTTAAACATAATAGGCCAAAATCAATTCTTTCAAATTGGGATCTGACAATTCACATTCAACCCAGAACATTCCTTTTACCCTGTTCTCTCCAAAGTCAAACTAGATTGTACACATACTTCTCTCTTCCACAACCTTCACTTTCCACTCTTTTTTCTTTTTGGTTGTAGTGGGATTTGAACTCAAGGACTTATGCTTGTGAGGCAAATGCTCTCCCACTTGAGCCACTCTGCCAGCCCCACTTTTTACTCTCTCATTCAACAAATCTTTCTGAGGTAAGAGTTAGGTAGAGCAAAGAAAGCAAGTAAAGCAATGAATCCAACATTGTCTCATTAAAAATAGGTTTTTAGGGCTGGCAGAATGGCTCAAGTGGTAAAGCGCCTGCCTAGCAAGTGTGAAGCCCTGAGTTCAAACCCCAGTACCACCAAAAATAAAAATAGGTTTTTCAAAAATTGTCCATTTTTTACCACGTAGGCAACCTTCAGTATGATTACTGTCATTGCCACCAGTCACCATCAATAGTCACTGGTTTTGTGGGTTTCCAGTATAGTACAGAATATATGCAGAACCACAGCTCAAGGCTAGAAAGATAGTGTGGAGGCCCTCAAGTGCCATTCAAGACAGCTTTGAACTATAAAAATTGAAGGACTTTTTTTTTTGTAGTACTGGAATTTGAACTCAGGGCCTCTTCTGTGAGCCACTCCACCAGCCCTTTTTTGTGATGGGTTTTTTCAAGATAGGGTCTCAAGAGCTATTTGCTCAGGCTGGCTTCAAACGGTGATCCTCCTGATCTGCCACCCGCCAGGTTTTTTTTTTGTTTTTTTTTTTTTTATCATGGGTATGAAATGATAAGAGTAACAATGTAAGGAGATTAAACTGGCAACCAGTTTTCTGAATCAATAAAGAGGAAAAAAATTATTATAAGTATAGAAACTGCCTCCCCCTATCCCTTTCCTCAAACATTAGAAGGGGAGACAAAAAAAGGGGGAGAGGGGACCTTCATCCAGAGTCTGGCGTGTGTCCTCCCATATGAAACAGAAGACTAAATTAAGAAGCTTGCCTTATGAGAGGGGTCATTGCATTTTAACTGAGTGCTGAGTTGGGTGGGGTCCTATTTATGACACAAGAGGGCAAGCCCCTCCCTTCTGGGAAGAGAGTGCTGGGCACACAACCTCCTCCTATTTATAATCCCTCCCCTCAAGGTAGGAAGCACAGAGTGCAGCAAGTGGCACAGGTGTTGGGGGAATAGCAGTGATCAACCCAGCTGCCTTAAGGAAGACCAGGGATGCCAGGATGAAAGATTGGAGTCCAAAGAGAAATGCCATGATGAAAGATCTGTGAAGAGGGAAGCCTGGTGGAGGTGCACAAGGATGATGCCTGGAAGATCAACATGTTCCATGACAGAAGCAATGATGGATCCAGTTTCAACGTCAGTAACTAGACCAGAATGGGAACCTGAGGCATACCAGAGACCTATAATCCAGCCAGAGCCTGAGTCAGAAAAGACACCCACAGGCCAACCAAGACCAGAGGCTCAGCAGGGATTCAATACCCAACAGAAGCCTGCATCACAGCAAAGACCCCTCACTCAGCAGAAGCCCATTGTCCAACATGAAGCTAAATATCAGCAGGAACCTATAGCACAACAATCTGCTGTGCACCAGGAATTTCTTGCCCCACAGGAGTCTGTGCCACAGCAATTACCCTCCATCCACAATGTGCACTCAGAACAGCAAGAAGGTGCCTCCCAGCAGGGACCTGGGCCAGGGACAGTGTTTACAACTCAACAGGAACCAGAATTGAGAGAGAGACTTGTAGCCCGTCAGGATCAGTAGACCCATCTCTAGCTCAACAAGAAGTTGGATCCATACCTACAGCCCAAGGTATACCTGGACCCAAAAAGGGACCATCTACCCAGATTAAATCTACATCATCAAAGGGACCTGAACAGTCAGACCTTACAGCCCAACCAACACCTCCAGTCCAGGATGTCAAATCTAAACAGGGATTTTCAACCCAGGGGGGATTTCTAACCAGAATGCACGAAGTGTTCACCCAGCGATCATCCCAAGAGGGGAAGACATTTTTTGAATGGGTCACAGATTTTGATACAGAATCAGATGTGAATTCATCTTCAGAGACAAATCCTCTAGTTGTAGGGGATAGAACAGTGACCCCAGGAGTGAAGCCAGAATTCCCAAAGAAACCTAGTTATGAAGTGATGTCAGGATATGACAGGCTTTCAGGAAGAAAGCCAGCACCCAGAATCACAAAAACAACCAGGACACAGGTGAGTCTGAACCTGGAGGGATGGAGCCTCCCAGGGACAGTTATTCATTCATTCATTTATTCATTCATTCAACAAGATAAGGGGATATTGAAAGTTCAAGGGCAGCCTGGGCTACATAGGGAGACCCTATCTTAAAAACAAAACAAACAAAAAAAAAAAAAGAAAAAAAGAAAAAGAAAGAAATACTAAGAATTTACTGTAAACCAGATCAGCTCAGGTCACCCTCCAACAACCCTGTGAGATAAAGATCAACATCCCCAGTGAACAGATAAGGAGGATGAGGCATAAAGATAAAGAAGGATCTTGCACAAGACCAGGGCAACCAATGCTCAGTGTGGACCTTACCCTCCTGAGTGTCCGTGTAGACAAGCCCAACATCTGGGTCATTCACAACTTCTGCTGCCAGGAGGTCATTTGCTCCCCTGTCAGCAGCCTCCATAGTCACTCAGTTCAGCAAGGCAAAGCGGCCTTGGGAGCTGCATTCTGGGGAAGGAGGAGCCTGGGAGAGCGCAAGGTCAAGGATGGAGGGAAGGAAAGGTTGGGAGCAGCATCAGAGGGTGGCAGGCCCAAGGTTCTGGCTCTTCCTGGGGTTCCTCTGCTGCCCTTGGGGTGCAGGCTCCAGCTGTGGGGCACTGGGCCCTGATCCTCCTTTTCTAGGCTCCTAATCTCTGCCGTGGAGAGGGGGGCAAGCAAGTCTTATCCATGGAATTGGGAGGCTACTTGTTGAAGTATCCTGAGGGAGCAAAACAGTGCACCCCCAATTCTGAAGTTGAAGGCATCCATAAGTCTGGAGGGTGGGTTCTGGTGGTCTCTGTGCTCAGGAACTTGTCCCTTCCAGAAAGTCTGGGCTGTCCCCTCAGAGCAGAGGAGAGAGCAAGACCTCTCGGTGCCAGGGCTGGTTGTGTGCTTTTCAAGGAAGAAGGAGAGGTTCGAGGCGTGCTTTTTCCAGTGCAGAGGGTGAAGAAGACCTCTTTTCTAGGCCTCCACAACCCAGTCCCAAGAAACGCTCATATCATCCCTAAGCAAGTGAGACTGCCTGTCAGCAGGTGCCATGAGGGGCAGTTGGCTGTGTGCGCATGCGCGAGCCTCGAGCGTCTTCTGTTTCCCGCCTTTTCCCTGGCACGCAAGCTCCCGCTACTTCCTTTGCTCTCCTTCCCCACAGTCCAAAACCGGAAGCTTGCGGGCAGGGGTTGAAAATTATCCTTCTCTCCTCGCTTTCTTTCATTCTTAGGGAGGAGGGAGAGGATGGGGAGAAAAGAGCCTGAATAATAGAATTAAAAAAAAAAAGGGAGGGGGAGCGAAGAAAGAACTGAAGGGGGGAGAGGCGGGGCTTCCTCTTCTAACGGTTCCCAGGTACAGCCACGCCTCCGAGGCTGGCCCCGCCCCGACTTTAAGTAGCCTGAGGTTCTATGCCGCCCCGCGCCCCAGGTAGAGGCTGCAGGGCACCGGCACCGGCTTTCCCCCCACCTCTTCCCGGCGGGAGCACTGGGCAGCGTTCTAGGGAATCCCTCCGTGGGAAGGTGAGTGGGATAGCGAGGCTGAGCACCATCACGGGAAGATTGGGGCTTTCCCTGTTGGGGTGCTCCCGCTCCGGGGGTTCTCTCCATTTGTCCTGTCTGCTGGACGCTTTTTGCCGCCTCCAGGCTGCATTTTTGTTGACCGCGGTCCCTTTAATGCGAGCGGCGGGGAGGGGCCAAGCTTTCAATCCCAGCGGTTGGGGGCGGAACCCAGAGGAAAACAAGCTCGGGATTGGATGATATGGGGGCCGGCGGTGGTGTGTAGTAACGATTGGCTAAAGGGGCGGGGCCTAGCTGCTGGAATTGGGCCCAGCGCCGGCACCGCGGAGAATTGATGGAGTCAGCTGGGTTATCGGGGCCCACTGGGGCCCCGGCCTCGAAGAAGGCCAAAGAGCGGTCGAAGAGCCGCAGTCGTCGGCGGTGGCAAAAAGGCAAGGCCAAAGGTGAGCCGGCAGCGGCCCGGAAGGAACCTTGCACATCCTGTGGGGCACTCGGGACTGAGTGGATTGACCCACTGCCACGAGAAGGGCGGGAGGGGGGGAGCCCGTGGAGTGGCCCATTGCAGCCCTGCGTGGGGACGATCCATTGTGAGAAGGGGGTGATGTGCATAGGGACTACCGGACGCCCCAGTCCCGCCGTCTTGGGAGCAGAGTCCGGAATGCGAGTTTCTTGAACCGGGGTTCCCGCTCGTGTTCCGTATTCGCAGCGTGACCAAGGGCAACTGTTGCTATCAGTGTTTTCTGCCTGGGCAACTGTTCGAGTGGCGATTTTCAGGTCTCCAGCGCTCTTGAGACAATAATGGGGATGGGGTTTAGCAGCTGTTGCCGATAAGAGGAAATTTAGGGGTGCGTCAGGACCAGGTAGGAGGAAGAGGTGCCCTGTAGTGAAGAATGTTGTGGGGCCAGTGCAGCTCCTCACATCTCCCACCTCCCACCCTCAGTTAATCCATCCATTCATTCATTGTCAGCCCACCTGCCTCAGCCCAGCTCCACTGGGGCTTTGCTTCCTGACACCACCACCCCCACCCATTCCAGGACAAGGGAGCTCAGGGTGGGCTTGGGACCTTCAAACCCTCCCTTAGGAGAAGGGAAGACTGTTACCTGGGTTCCCTAGATCTCAGAAGATGAGAAAGACTGCCAGCCCAACAGAGATGTAAGCATCAGGCAAAGGCAGTCTTCGCTCAGTCTGGATGAGGACCTGTGGGAAGTTCCTATGCAGGGAAAAACTCATTCCTCCTGCCCCACCCTTCATCATTAGCACAGAGTAGAACTATAGTTGGCTCCAGAGCCCATGCACAGGCTCCCACAGGCTCAAATTGGAGTCTGAGAGCACTACCACTCACACAGGACAATGAACCTCACAATAGGACAACATACCCTGAAAGCAGTACAGACCATGGTAAAGAGCCTGGGTATCAAAGACCCATTTCCTCAGGATGTGTACTGTGACACCCTAGGCAACAGGCTTCCTCTTTTCCCTGCCTCCATTTTCTAAGCTCAAAAGGGATTTGGTAAGAGGAATTATCCAACATGTAGGGCTGTTGTAAGGTTCAAAGGAGTGGAGAGGGTTCAGTGCACAACAAGCCCTCAGGAGAGATGGACATGGTTATTGCTGTTAGTCCCCCCAGTGAGCTCCCTAAGAGTGGGGTTGTGTCTACCTTGATTACCCTACAGTGCTAGAGCATAGAATGCCAGAAGCATAGGCACTCAGATATTTATTGGATTAATAAGTGAAGGAATGTGTGAACTATAACACTGGAATATTAATAATCACACTTCCTTTAAGGTTATTCATGAGGAGTCAGAAACAATCTGCTTGGGTAGGGCTCCCTGCACAAGGTCCAGACAGTCCTATTCACAAACGCTTGAACCTACTTACCCCCAAAGGCTCATTCCCCTGAGCTCTGTGATTCTCTTTGTCATTTCCTGAGACCCTCCCTGGTGCCAGGCCTCAGATTAGTGAATCAGTTCCCACCCCTGCCCCAAGGGCATCCAGACTGGCCGGAGCTCTCCTTATTATCAGTTTGATCTTGCCAGTAACTTGATGAGCTAGGGTCATTATTATCACCCTGTTTCCCAGATGAGGCACTGAGCCACCTGGGTTTCCTTACTTGGCCAGTGCAGACAGAGAAATGACTGCCCTCAGCCTTCTCTGGGCAGGGAGTGTGTGAATTGGCAACCACTGTATGCCTCAACCTTGATTCTGGACCCAGAAAGCTCCAGTTGTAGAATCATTCATCAGACATTCACTGAACCCCTAGTGGTGCCAGGACTGGGCTCTTGGTGGCGAGCAGGACAAACTTATTAATTAAATAAGACGATTGTAAACTGTGATACAACACAGGGAAAATCCTGAGAAAATGAAAGAAGGAGGTTTCCCAAGAAGTTGGTACTGGACCGAAGGATGGGCAGGTATTAACTTGAGCAGGTGGGCAGGGAGGACAGATAAGACAACATGAGCAAAGACCTCAAGGCAATAAGGAAGCAGCACGTGACATTAAAGAGGACTCTTAGGGCAGGAGGGCAGAGGGTAACAGGAAGCCAGGGTGGGCAGGGTAAGGGAGGGGGGCAATGCTGGTTTGGAGTTTTTTGTTTTGTTTTGTTTGAGGGGGGTAGGGGTTGCCAGTAAAGCGGTTTGAATTCAGAGCCTTACAATTGCTAGGCAGGTGCTCTACCACTTGAGCCAGTCCATTAGCCTTTTTTTGTGTGTTGGTTTTTTTTCGAGATAGGGTCTCAAGAACTATTTGCCTGGCTCTGACATCAAACCACAATCTTCTTAATCTTTACCTCCCTAGTAGCTACAATTACAGGCATGAGCCACCAGGGAGCACCGGGTTAGAATTTGGAGCTTTGTCCTCCGAGTAAAGCAGGGAGACGTGAAGGATTGGGAGTGAGTTCAGCTTTATTTTAGAAAGATCCTCTGGCTGCTATGCAGAGAACAGATTGAAATGAGAGGCACACACAGAGCATTACAGTCATCCAGATGAGGACACTACAGTATGGACCAGGGAGGAGGCAGAGAAGGTGGGAGAAGGACCAGGTTGTCAAGGTTCCTAGGGGCCAGAGTAGACGGAACTGGGTGATGGACTAAATTGGGGGGGGGGGGGGGAGAAGTGGCCAAGATGACCTAGGGAGTCATCTAGAACAAATGGGGAGAGATCTGTTACACACACACACACACACACCTATGTATACATTCACACATATACAAACACCTGCTCACACAAAACTCACTAGCCAAGAGAAAAAGATACATTCAGATGCTAAGGAACATATTTAGACCATTACACAGCATACAAATCACACACCTTCAGACACCAAGAAAAATAAAAGTATATTTGCCCTGCTATGTCCCCATGGACCTAAGTCCAGGCCAGATCTAGCTGTCCAGTAGCTTTTCAGGGCAAAAGCCTGAGGCCCAGTCAGCTGGGCACCCCCCTACTGGGCCCTCTCAGTCCTACCTTTGTCCCATTCATGCCATGTTCACCCATAGTCCCAGTAGGAGTGCCTTTGTCCCAGTGCCCTCTGCCTGGGATTCTTAGCAAGTTCTGGCAACCTCAGCATCCCTTTCTCCTGGCTCCAGGCAGGCAGACTTCAGGGAGCTGCCTGGAGGAGGGCAAGGGGCAGAGCCCTACAATCACTAGGACCTGCGATCTAGCCCCTTCCCTACCACTTCTTTTGGAGATGTCCTCTCTTCTCACCTTTATAAAGACCCCTACCCTTTTCCATATGTAGGGAGTGGATGGTATCCCAGCACAGTGAACTATGAAGGGTAAGTGGCAGATACAGGGTGCCCAGTGTGGGAAGTGAATGAGACCGGGTTTAAAAATGGGAAATCACTGTGCCAGATAAAATTGATTTACCAAGTGCACCAGGCACTGCCCAAGAGCTGAATAAAACAGAAGGCCCTGCCCTCTGGGAGCCTAGAATGTAGTGGGGAGACAGCAAACAACATCAGTGGAAAATTGTATGGTGTGTTAGATAGTGACAAGTGCTACACAGAAAAAATAACCCACCTTCTCAGCAAGGCCAAGTAAGCCCACAGAGCAAACTGTGTACATAAAATGTCTCCCTGGGCTGGGGGTACAACTCAGTGGTGAAGTACATCTTTAGCATGCATGAGACCCTGGGTTCCATCCCTAGCATCACAAGAAAGGAGGGAGTGGGGAGGGAACAAATGCCACCCATGAGGTGCTGCTTATAATGCAGCTTGCCCACCCTGAATGGACAGAATGGCCAAGTACAGTTTTCAAATGAAGTCAGACTCATCCAGGATCATCTATCGAATAGCTTGGGCCTGTGTCCCATTGTCCTAGCCACCAAGCTTAACTGCCTCCTAGGCCCTGGTCTGTCCATCTGTCCATTTGTTTTCTGGCTCTGGGAAGGGACAGCCCACTCCCAAACTCCCATCTACCCCCTTTGGCCCCCACTCTACCTCTTCATGTATTTGTGGAACACCTACCATGTGGGTCCTCTTGGGGATGACACAGGGACCAACACAGAGGACTCACCTACAGCCAGACAAATGATGCTGAGGCCTCAGGGCCCCTCATTTACATAGGTCCCTTTCAAAGTCCTATACCAAATTTTCTATTTGTAATTTTGAGTTCTTCCTGAAGAGCCGTAGCCACTTAGCTTATAAGCTGTGTTGCTCCATGCCACCAAGTTCTGTCCTGGAGGAGACAAACAAGAAACATAGTTAAATGTGCAATTGCAAATGCCAGGAAAGAAGAACTAAGCATTGAGGAGAAAATAATGGGTGGGGTGCACATCTTACATGGGGAGAGGTTATAGGGAGCATCCCAAGCTGAGGCCTGAAGGGTGAGAAAGAGTTAGCAAGGAGTATGTGGAATGCACAGGTAAAGTGTCTCTCTGAGCCTCAGTTTGTCATATGTGACATAGAAGTGACAGTCACAGGCTGGGCTGTCTTAGGGTAAGTGGCAGATACAAGATGCCCACTGTGGGAGCACCAGTCAGTAGGAACTGTGGCTTGGGACCGTAGTTAAACATGGTTGTGCCCTTAATCGGCTTTTGTTCTCCCAGGAGGGAGAAAAAGGGTGGCCACCTCCTGTCTCCCCTAACAGCTGGGGACACCTGTGCCAGGGCCAGTCAGGGAGCGGGAGCTGAGATCATTGGGACTTTGGCTCTCTAATCCACTCTGGGGAGAGGAGGGTAGCCTGGCTGGGTGAAAGGGGACAGTGAATTTACGGACTGAGGCTGGGACCCCTTGGTTTTGAGAGAGAAAAGGACTGGGGCCTAGACCCCGGGGTCTGAGGGAGAGAAGCTGTGGCCTGAACCTCTGAGTCTGAGAGAAAAAGGTCTGGGGCCTGGACTCCTGGGTCTGAAGGAGGAGGGTTGGAACCTAAAATTCTGGGTCTGATGAAGAAGAGGCTGGGGTCTGAATCCCGGATTGAGGGAAGAAGGACTGGGGCCTGGACTCCCGGCTCTGTGGTAGGAGGGCTGGGCCTGGTCCTGACTCTGAGGTAGGAGGACTGAGGCCTATCCCTGGCTGAGGTAGGAGGGCTGGAGCCTGGATTCATGAGTTCTAAGGAAAAGGAGCCTGAGACAAGGACTCCCAGTTGAACTGGGCTAGGAGCAGGCAGGAGGGGCAGAGAGTTGGGCTCTGTGCTCTGTTTACAGCATACGGTTCTCACTGTCCTTTCTGGATAGGAGGTGGAGCCTGGGCACACTGGCCCCTCCTGCAGTTTATCGCCCCAAGCTGCTACTGGCACTAGCCTCAGACCAGCAGTCTCAGCCCAGAGAGCTCCAGCTCTGAAGAAGCCCGGGAGGGGTGAGTGCCTGGCCAGCTGAGTTATAGGAATGGCCGCTGCTGGCCCCCGGGACCTGGAAGGGAGAAGAGAAACTCTCTTTCCAGGGGAATGGGAGGCCATAAATCCAGAAGTCAGGCAGAGTGCTGGACTTTGGAAGAGAAGGGTTCCTCTGATAGATAGTTGTATCCGCACCAAGGGGGCAAGAGCAACTTGTCTAGGCCCTGGGTAATGGCCATCACGGGGGACCCTGAGCATGGGGAGTCAGGCATAGCTTGAGGCATGTTTGAGGGTCAGAGCTAGAGGCCCAGCCTCCAGAGTCCCAGAAGGGAGCCCAGCATAAGTTGGCACTCTGGACCCAGAGATCTGGGTTAGAATTGGCTCTGCCACTCAGTGCAACTTTCAGCTCCTTACTTAGCCACTCTGAGCCTTAGTTTCCCGCCCGCCCCCCCATAAAGTGGGGATACTAGCAGTAACAGAGACTTGAACTAAGCATTCTGAGTCTCAGAGGGCTCCTGTACTATCTGCACAAATACACAGAAAGCCTCAGCCCAGGGTCTAGTCAACAGCAGTGATGTATACCGCCATTCCGGGCATGCAATCTAAGCAAGTGGACAGGCCTGAAGGCCAAGGGACCACATAGAGGAAAGGTGATGCTGACTGTGGGGGCCACAGAGGAAAGGGGAATGAGTCATTTGTGAAGTAAGGCTGGAATTACAAACTCCTGGGTTCAGAAGGAGAGCTGTGCAGGGGAGCAGGGTCCTGGATGATGGGATTCAGTGGGCTGGAAGAACTCCTTCAAATATTACTGGAGGGGAAGGGTCTTTGGGCCACACCTGGGCCCAAGAAGGAAAGATGGGATGTGGCTTGGACTCTCGGTCCTGAGAGAAGGATTGGCTGGGTATCCAGACTTTTCAGAACCAAAAAGGAGTCCTGGACCCAGGAGAGTGAACTCTTTTGATGCCTGAATTCAAATGGACAGGAGGAAAGGGAAGGGAAAAGGAGGAGGAAGGGAAGGGGAAAGAAAGGAAAGGAAAGAAGGAAGGGTAGGCCAGCTCCTGGGCATGGGGGAGATGCAACAGCTAGGCACCAGATCCACGAGGCTCAGGCGAATGTCTGGACTCCTCGGTGCGAGAAGGAGGGGAAGGGCAGTGACAGCAGGCTGCCAAGTCCCCATAGAAAGAATAGGGGGACTGGAGGTGTGATTCATGAGGTAGAGCAACTGCTTTTCAAGTGCGAAGCCTTGAGTTCAAACCCCAATACCATCAAAAAAAAGAAAGAAAAAGAAAGAGTAGGAATTCCTGGGTCCCTGAAGAGAAGGGGTCTGGTCCTGGGCTCCTGGGTCTGAGAGTGGAGGAGACTGAGGGATGGAGCTCCTGAGAAGGGAGAAAGGCATAGGGGACTTGGACTCTTGGGTCCTGAGGAAGGAAGGTGACATAGCCTCAGACTCCTGAATCCTGGAAACAAGGGGGTAACCTCCTGGGTCAGAGTCTGAAGGGGGTGGGGGCTAGGATCAAACCCCTGAACCTGAGGAAGGAGGGGATAGGGCTTGGGCTTCTGGGCCTGAAGTGGGAGGGGACCCAGGTCAAACATTTGAGCCTGAGGGAGGAGAAACAGGGCCTAGATCCTGGGTCCAGCCGAGCAAGGGGTGATCTAGCCCTGCCTTATAGGCCTCCTCACCTGCCCACAGCCTCACGATTATTGCACAGCATGGACCTGCGCACAATGACACAGTCGCTGGTGACTCTGGCAGAGGACAACATGGCCTTCTTCTCAAGCCAAGGCCCTGGAGAGACAGCACGGCGGCTGTTGGGCGTCTTTTCAGGTATACGGGAGCAGGCGCTGGGACTGGAGCCAACCCTGGGCCGCCTGCTGAGCGTGGCACACCTCTTTGACCTGGACACAGAGACTCCAGCCAATGGGTACCGCAGCTTGGTGCACACTGCCCGCTGCTGCCTGGCACACCTGCTACACAAATCCCGCTACGTGGCCTCCAACCGCCGCAGCATCTTCTTCCGCACCAGCCACAACCTGGCTGAACTTGAGGCCTACTTGGCTGCTCTCACCCAGCTCCGTGCTCTGGCCTACTACGCACAGCACCTGCTGGCCATCAACCAGCCAGGGGGGCTCTTCTTCGAGGGCGATGAGAGGCTCACCGCTGAATTTCTGAGCGAGTATGTCACACTCCATAAAGGCTGCTTCTATGGCCGCTGCCTGGGCTTCCAGGTGAGTCCCCTGCCCCACGTCCCTCTGGGCCACAGTGAAGGCACTGGTGGCCCGTAACCTGACCCAGTGGCATGGTAGGATAACCACCATGGCCAGTGTTACTGGATTCAGGAAATAGCTAAGAGAAGTTGTAGGAGCTCAGAGCTAGACTGCAGTCTCAAACTCATGGCCCTGGACTATGTTGTAAGAAATCTTTCTACCAGTATCTCCACCACTCTTTGTCATCAGGACACCCAGTCACACTTTCATGTCACCTGCCTGGCCTTCGAAGTCACTTGAGTTTGGGCTCCCTAGGCAGGTGGTCAGTATTGCTCTCCAAGCTCTGTTGTGCATGACTGCGCCCCCTTGTCCTTGCTGGAGTCCAGGGACGGAGGGAGGGTGCCAGTCCACAGCTGCAGACTGGGACCTGGGCTTTTTTTACTCACACTGCTGTAGAATCACAGGATTTCCAGGCAGCCCTCAGGGGAAGGCCATGAGCCCATCAGAGTTGGTGAAGTGAGGAGGACCTAGTTGTGGTTTCTCTTCTCCCTGAACTAGACATCCTGACCCTATTGTGTCTCGTACCCTCTGTCTATCCCAAACCACCTCAGAGATGCAGCTCATCAACACATGGAAAATGAGACAGGCTTGAAGGTCCTCACACTTGGATAAAAGTGATTTGAGGACTCAGAAAATCGGGGGACTTTGGGGCATCAGACTCAGAACCCCCGTCTGGGGTCACTGCCAGCCTGACAGCCCCTACTGGCCGCATCCCCAGCCAGGAGTATGTGGAGCTGTGTGACCCTATGGTCCCTCCCATCCTCTCTGGTCCTCCTTTCCACCTCAGTGACAAAGGCGCATCTTTTGGCCTTCCCATCCCACCTAGGCTTTCCCTGTGGGCCACTGCTCCCCAGCAGCTCAGTCCTGGTTTTCCTGGGAACCTCTCCTCACCCAAGCTGAGCCCATAAATACTGACTTACTCCAGCAGGACCAGCCAGCAACTCTTCATGTCCTGGCAGTGACATTGGAGTCATAAGAGAGCCCAGGCCGCCTGAACCAGTAGCCCAGTCACAATGGCCAGGAATCTCCGTGCTCTCTGGTCTGCTGGGCACCCAGCCAGGAACAGGGGCATGGCCGTATGCCAGCTTCTGTCTGCGGGCCCCAGCTCCACTGTAGTGGAGGACAGCCTCCCCACTCTATGTCAGCCCCCAAAAGGGTAGAGGCCTCCACCTCTTAGTCACTGCTCAGCCCCTGCTCCAGCCAAAAGTCTAGCATGCTGTAGAACCTTGGCTAGTGTTTGCTGAATGAACCAAAAGAGAACCCAGCTGGCCCCTTGCCTTGGCCTCCTGCAGCCTAGTTTTCCCTAATGCTATGTCCCCATTGTCTTCCTAACTGCTTATCCACTCTCTCCTGCCTGCCATGTGTTTCCCCATTCCTCTGTGACAGCCATCTGTCCCCATCTCTAGGCTTTAGTCCCCCATCTGGCTATCTTTCTGCCTCAAGATCTCAGTACCTATCTGGCTATCTCTGACCACATCCCCATTGCCATCTTCCTGCTGCCCCTTAACTGACAACCATGGTCTGCCTGATGTTTTTGTCCTCTCTCTAGCTTTGAGGAAATACCTGTGTCCTTACTTCCAGCTCAAAGCCTCCAGTGGCTCTCCCCCACATGCAATGTAAAATCCAGATTCCTGAGCCTGGGCCCTGCATGAGGCCCCCCTGCTTCTCTGACCTCCCCTGCCCTTCTCCCCCACTCACTCTGCTTCAGCCACACATCCCCTCTCCCCCGCCCAGCTGTCTTCGCTACCCATGGCCTGGCACTGCCACCTCAGCTTTTGTACTTGATCTGCCTTCTGCTGGCACCCATGCTCTCAAATCCCTCGTGCAGACCTGGCCAAGGAGCCTGAGCCCTGCTTATCACTGTGCCCCCCCCCAACCTACTGTCTTTTCCTTCCAATCACTGGTCATCTCTGGCTATTTATTTGATTAGGATGTCCCTTTCCTTTGTGGACATCAGGCCCAGCACATCGTAGGAGCTCAAGGAATGCTTACTGAGTGAATGTGCCTTCCCCACACATCTCTGCCCTTTATGCCTGCCCTGTCCACATCCCTCTTGTGGGCAGGCAGGTGACACAAGCCTCTCTCCATAGTTCACACCTGCCATCCGGCCGTTCCTGCAAACCATCTCCATTGGGCTGGTGTCCTTCGGGGAGCACTATAAACGTAATGAAGCAGGCCTCGGTGAGTGCCCACTGGCCCAGCCCTGCCCACAGCTTCCCTTCACCTCTCATCCCTCTTTCCCAGCCCTGCTGAACAGCCTGACCTGCAGGTCTCCCTGACACCCCTCCTGACCTCCAGGTGTGACCGCCAGCTCCCTCTTCACCAGTGGCCGCTTCGCCATCGACCCAGAACTACGTGGGACTGAATTTGAGCGGGTCATACAGAACCTGGATGTACACTTCTGGAAAGCCTTCTGGAACATCACCGAGATCGAAGTGCTGTCGGTGAGCACCAGGCCCCGTGAGAGCCCCATCTAGCTACAGATGGGGACACCGAGCCCCAGAGACCCATCTGAAGACAGCTGTCACTGCAGGGCCCCAGGCCCAGGGACAGCACATGACAGAAAAGACTGCAGAAGGGGAGGTGTGTGGAGTGATCCCCCAGGCCGCCCCTCCGCAGCACCCCTTCTGTTTCCTCCCACCAGTCTCTAGCCAACATGGCCTCAACCACGGTGAGGGTAAGCCGCCTGCTCAGTCTGCCACCTGAAGCCTTTGAGATGCCACTGACCTCGGACCCCAAACTTACAGTCACCATCTCCCCTCCCTTGGCCCACACGGGCCCCGGGCCAGTGTTTGTCAGGCTTATCTCCTATGACCTGCGGGAAGGACAGGTAGGACCCCAGCATCAGCCAGGAGCAGGGGTACCCCCAGCCCAGCATCCCCTTCCTCCCTCCGCCTGCAGAGGGACAAGGCCCAAGCAGGCCCACCCCAGCCTTGCCTCCTGCCTCCGCATCCCCAGGACAGCGAGGAGCTCAGCAGCCTGGTGAAGTCCGAGGGCCCGTGGAGCCTGGAACTTCGGCCACGACCCCAACAGGTGCCCCGCTCACGGTTCCTGGTAGTGCACATCCACGGCGGTGGCTTTGTGGCCCAGACCTCCAAATCCCATGAGCCCTACCTCAAGAGCTGGGCCCATGAGCTGGGAGCTCCCATCATCTCCATCGACTACTCTCTGGCCCCAGAGGCCCCGTTCCCCCGTGCCCTGGAAGAGTGCTTCTTCGCCTACTGCTGGGCCGTCAAGCACTGTGCCATGCTTGGTGAGCCCAGGCCCCCACTGCCAGGCTCCTGCTCCCACCTCTTCTCCCCTAGTGAACCAACCTCCCAGCCCATCACAGGGACATGAGTCCCCTCTTCCCTCAAGCCTCTTCCTGCCCCTTGACCCTGCCAACCTTTACCTCCTGCCTCTGCAGCCCTGCCACCCACTCACTTCACTGCTGCCAACCTTCCACTTCAGCTACTTCATCTTCGTCTTGACCTCCACCTAAGCCTCCAGCGCCTCCACTCCGCAGCTGTCCTCCCTCTCTCCTATCCCCCACCCCCTTTATTTGTGTACTGAGGATTGAATGGGCAAGGGCTCTATAACTTGAGTCACAGCCCTAGCTCTCTTGTTTGTATTTTTGTTTTTGAGGTAGGGTCTTGCTCACTTAGCCCAGACTGGCCTCAAACTTAAGCTCCTCCTGTTTCTGCCTCCCAAGTAGTTGGGACTACAGGTATGTACCACCACACCCCACTAATGGTCTCTTCTTTCCTCCCTGGCTGCCTTCTGCCTGCTGTCCCCACACTGCCAGTCTCCTGGCACATGTGTCCACGTTCACAGGTCCTCAAACCTCTTCTAATGCCAGCATCTCCAGAGGACACAGGAACAGAGCAGTGTGTGGCCATTCTGGGATGCTGGGTCTTGGGCCAGCCATCTGCACTGTCAGTCTGAACCCTGCCCTTTGGTGTCTCAGCCTGATGCCCCTCCCTTGGGAAACAGGCCCTGAGCTCCCTTCCCCATCACCTGTCCTTGCTGTTGCCTTCCAGCTTCCCCTACTTTCCCAGCATTTTTTGGTATTTGGGGCCTCTCCATGTCCTGTGTCTTCCTGATCCTCTGACCACTCTCTACCACATGGGTCCAAATCTGTATTTTAGAGTTTGCCAGTCTCTAAAATAGCAGTCTTGACCAGGCATGGTGGTGCACAGCTGTAATCCCAGCTACTTAGGATGCAAAGACAGGAGGATAGAGGATTTAAGACTAGCCAGGACATACTTAGCAAGACCCTGTCTCAAAAACAAAATATAAATAAGAGAGGGTGGAGGTGTGATTCAAGTAGTAGCGTGCTTGCCTAGCAGGTGTCAAGGCCCTGGGTTCAATCCCCGGTACCGCAAAATGAATAAAAATAGTTTTGAAATAACAGTCTGCTCGATCTTGCAGAACCCCACAGCCTCTCTTTGAGAGCCCAGTTCTTCTAGCCCAGAACTTGAGTCTCCTTCCTCCCAAGTCTCCTGCCCCTGCCAGGCTGTGACCAAGCCCTTCTCCCCCAAAACTAGGTTCAACAGGGGAGCGGATATGCCTTGCAGGGGACAGTGCAGGTGGGAACCTCTGCCTCACCGTGTCCCTTCGGGCAGCAGCCTTCGGGGTGCGGGTACCAGATGGCATCATGGCGGCCTACCCAGTCACAACGTTGCAGTCCACTGCCTCTCCCTCCCGCCTTCTGAGCATCATGGACCCACTGCTGCCCCTCAGCGTGCTCTCCAAATGTGTCAGCGCCTACTCAGGTGAGGCCCACATGCTGGGCAGGGGAGCCAGGGTGCCTGGACACCTGGGGTGTGTCAGGGACATGCACTGGGCCCAGTCCTCAAGCCTGAGGGAGGAGGGGCTGGGCAGGGGAATCTGAGACTTGTACCTTTTGAAGAAGTCAGCCATCCCTGGGAGCACAGATGCCTGTGGTTGTGGCTGTTGGGACTGGGCCTAAAAAGGGAGAAGACCAGCTCAGCTCCCACTACATCCTGCAGGTTCAGAGACAGAAGACTACTCGGACCCAGACCAGAAGGCACTGGGCATGATGGGGCTGGTGCGACGTGACACATCCCTGCTCCTCAGAGACCTCCGCCTGGGTGCCTCCTCCTGGCTCAACTCCTTCCTGGAGCTGAGTGGGCGCAAGTCGCAGAAGTCCTCAGTTTCTATAGCAGGTGAGTGACGGCCTGTCCCCAAGGCACCCAGACAAGGTGGCCTGGAGAGATGGCCTGGCATAGCACAAGTCCCAGGGGAGGAAAAAGACTGAGCCCTGGGGCACACGAAGCAGAAAACATCTTCCTGGCTGGCTCTACCCTATAATCATCCCTGTTCCTACCACAAGGCCTCAGTATACCACAACAGTCCACATGCTAGAAATTTCAGGACTTGTGGTCCCCTGGGGTCATCTCAGAGTCCCAGGAACTGCTTGCCAAACAGCTTTCCCCTTCCCTGTATCCTGGGAAATGACCCAGAGATGTGGCAATCATACTGATTTTCAACCCCAAGAACTCCACCCAAGTCCCATGGGACCTGAGGCGGGTCCAGCCCTTCCACAGATTTGACAGAGGCACAAAGGGCTTGTATCTGAAAGTGGCCAGGTGGGGAGATCAGCTGATTGGACAGACCTAGGGAAGTAGGCATTCCCAGCTGTGGGTAGTGGCAGAATACTCAGGCAGCAAAAATCATTTCTGTCCAGGGAGCCATGTTTTCCCACCGTAACACATGCAATTCAACTCATTTTATATCTCTAAGCAGATCCACAGGATTTGTTGTTGTTGTTTGTTTTTTGTGGTAGTGGGGTTTGAACTCAGAGCCTATACCTTGAGCCACTCCACCAGCCCTAACTCCTCCCTAGTAGCTAGGATTACAGGCCTGAGCCACCAGCACTGGGCAGTATTTTTTTTTCTTTTTTGGCAATACTAAGGATTGAACCCAGGGACTTGCAATGGCTCTCCCATTTGAGTCACACCCCCAACTTTTTTGTTTGCATTTTGTCTTCGAGACAGGGTCTTGCTAGCTTTGCCCAGACTGTCCTAGAACTTGTGATCTTGCCTCTGCCTCTCAAGTAGTTGGGATTAAGTATTTTCTGAATAATAAGAATTACAGAAGCTGGGCTCTAGTGGTTCATGCCTATAATCCTAGTTAATTGGGAAGCTGAGATCAGGAGGATTGTGGTTTGAGGCCAGCCTGGGCAAATAGTCCATGAGACCCCATCTCCAAAATAACCAGAGCAAAATGGACTGGAGGTGTGGCTCAAGCAGTTGAGCGCCTGCTTTGCAAGCATAAAGCCATGAGTTCAAACCACTTCCACCAAAAAAATAAATAAATAAAAATAATTACACATTCAGGATTGGGGGCATGGCTGTACTGGGCTGGTACAGTGGCTCAAGTGGTAACAGGACCTGCTTAGCAAGCATGAGGCCCTGAGTGCCACCAAAAAAAAAACAAAACAAAACAAAAAATTATCCCAATCAAGCATATTTTATTTTAAATTAAGTTTTCAGTTATGAGATTTTCAGGCAGATGCAAAAAAAAAATAATTAGAAGGCAGTTGAGCCACAAGAACCATTGAGCACTGGAGGATTCCCTGTATGAGAAAGATGGCGGGTGCAGCCCCTGGAAGCACACACTCCAGTCTAGCTCCTCACCACTTATCAGTTACTTCCCGGTCACTTGGGTGATACAGCTGATACAGCGCCTGTTCCCCAGGCCTGGGTACCTCCTGTGACCTTCCCTTTCTGCCATCCATACACCCCACCAGCAGTCAGGCTCATTCGTGGTCCCATTCAGCCCCTAAGTCTGTCCCTCCCACAGAGCCTATGCGGAGGAGCGTGTCTGAAGCTGCCCTGGCCCAGCCAGAGGGCCCGCAGGGCACAGACTCCCTCAAGGCCCTAAAGGACTTGAGCCTGAAGGGCAGCTCCGAGACGTCGGACACCCCTGAGATGTCACTGTCCGTGGAGACACTTGGCCCCTCCACTCCCTCCGATGTCAACTTCTTTCTGCGACCTGAGGATTCACAGGAGACACAGTTGCTGAACACCAAGGACAGAGGCCCGGCTGTGAGCTTGTTCCCAGAAGGTTTCCAACCACGGCGCTCCAGCCAAGGGGCCATCCGCATCCCCCTCTACTCCTCTCCCATCGTCAAGAATCCCTTCATGTCACCTCTGCTGGCGCCTGACAGCATGCTGAAGACCCTGCCACCCCTGCATATCGTGGTGAGTGAGGGGCAGGGATGGTGAAGCTAGGAGGCACGAGGGCTGCAGCGCAGGGGCCCCTGGGAAGAGGGAGTTGGCCAGGCCTGAGGGGACAGGTGTGCCACCAGGAAAGGCAGTACCTGGGGCCAGAAGGACAGAGGGAGTCCAGGCTGCCGTTGTCATTTGAAATTTTGTTGAACACCAAGGGGTGGAGGCAGCGGGCTTGGAGAGCAGGGCGGGAACCGGACAAAGGCCAGGGCATCCAGTTAAACTCATTCTCTCCTTCCCACACGGCCACCTCTTCCTCCATTCTGTCCCCGGCCTCTGTCCACCCTCATCGCCCCTCCAGGCGTGCGCTCTGGACCCCATGCTGGACGACTCGGTCATGTTCGCGCGCCGACTGCGCAGCCTGGGCCAGCCGGTGACGCTGCGCGTGGTGGAGGACCTGCCGCACGGCTTCCTGAGCCTGGCGTCGCTGTGCCGGGAGACGCGGCAGGCCGCGGGGCAGTGCGTGGAGCGCATCCGCCTCATCCTCACGCCGCCCGCCGCGCCGCGCTGAGCCGCCGGCCCGCGCGGGGACGGGGGGCTTGCGGGGGCGACACTAAAGACCTCTTGCTCGCATGTGCGCTGGCCTCCGTGATGAATGCGCTCCAGGCTCGTCCGGGTGGGCGGGAGGGGGCGGGCTGTGCCTTAAGTCGGGACAGGGAAGGGGGCGGGGCCGGGGGGCGCGCTCACCGCCCACGGAGACCGTGGCGCCTGCACTCCGCCACTGTCTTCTATGCTGCTGCGACCGACCAGCTGCGGCAGGTCGGCTTGTCTTCTGTAAATAAAAGTATTTAAGTAGTTTGTCTGTTCACGTGGCGGGGCACTTGCCCAGCAGGGGGCAGCATCGGACTCGAGCTATTGGGAACTGGAAACCCGGGGCGCGCCGACCTGGGTTCTTGGGGAAAGGGGCCATACTAACTGAGACCACCTCCCCCTCAACAAATCCAGGTATGGTGCCCGAGGATGCTGGGTTCAGCTCCTCTCCTTGAAGTCCCCACTCTCCTACTTCCAGTGAAAGGTCACTTCCTTTCATCAAGGAAAAAAAATGTCTTGGGCCCCAAAGGTGCCAGTGACCCAAACTATCCACAGAACTGGAGAAAGTTAGCAGGAAACCACAAACAAACTGGTCGCCCCAAATCCTGAAAGTGCAGGTTCTGCCCATCTGTGACAGTCCCTCCACCAACTCTGGAGGCCTGGCCCCTTGTAGGTCCTGGGGTTAGAGTGAAATGGTTCAAACCCCGGGCCTGCTCTCAGAACCTTCTGGTCCTGGGTTCAGTGGTTCTGTGGGGTGGCTGTCAGGAGCGCTTCACAGAGGAAGTGATCAGCCTTAAAGGAGGAGCACAAACTTGCTAGGCAGAAAAACATGCCAGGCTATGACAGCGCGTAGGGAGTGAGCAAGGCCTCAGTTCCAGTTCAAGTGTAAAGTAAGGAGTGACTACATGAGACTGCAGCAGATCCTACAAGGCCTGGAGTACAATTTCAGCTATGGCTATAGTTCTATGGGAAGCCATAGAAGGACTCAAGCAGAAAAGAGCTAGGGACGGTTCTATGGGAAGCCATAGAAGGACTCAAGCAGAAAAGAGCTAGGGATGGGGTCAATTCCAGGTGCTGAAGGGCAGTGCCTGCTGGGACATTGGGGGGTGAACTGAAAGGGACCATCTGGAGCCCTGGAGGCAAAGAAAGGGGCTAGGGACAAGGGAAGGCAAAGTCAGTATTGGGACAGAGGCCTTGAGGGTAGAGGTGCAGGCAGAGCATCCCATAGCCATAACTGAGGTTGCAAGAATAAGATTTAGGTTAGGGATGAGGTTACAGGAGAGCAAGGTGACAAGGATGATAGTTGGGTCTGACCAGGGGAACAGGTGGACAGTGATGCTATCTGTTCACTGAGAGGAGACATATGTATATGAGGGAGTGGGGGGGGAGGGGTGATGCTCAGAGCTGTTTCTGGATGAGACACTCCAAAGGACCATAGGAGAGCAATGTGGGTGATCGCTTCTGGTTGGAGCCAAGGTACTGGAACCTTTCCAGAAAGAGTGAACAGGTGGGAGTAGAGGAGGGCCAGAACAGAGCCCTGACACCCCTGTGGAGGGGTGAGGAGTGGGAGGCCAGTGCTAGAGAAGGAAGAAGCAAACCAGAAAAGAGAAGGTTGTAAAGTGAAGGGAGTTTCAGTGGAACTTCGTGGTCCATGACAGATGAGGACTGAAATGTTATTCTCAGGCCTCAGCAATGAGCAGATGGCCTAGGGGAACCTTGTCCAGAGCTCTTATAGAACCATGAGAGATGGGAAGCCAGATGTGGTGGGCTGAAGAGGCAGTGGAAGGTAAGGGACTGAGCCACTGGGTACCACAAGTCTGTAGCGGTAAAAGGGATGACAGTTAATTCATGCCCAGGTGTGGTGGTGCACACCTGTAATCCCAGCCATGCAGAAGGCATAGGTAGAAGTGCAGTTTGAGGCAAAAAAACAAGACCCAGATGGGAGCCCATGGCTCACGCCTGTAATCCTAGCTACTCAGGAGGCACAGATCAGGAGGATCGATGCTTGAAGCCAGCCTGGGCAAATAGTTTGAGAAACCCTATCTCAAAAAAACTCTTCACAAAAAAGGGCTGGTGGAGTGGCTCAAGGTGTAGGCCCTGAGTTCAAGCCCCAGTACTGAAAAAAAAAAAAAAACCCACAAGACCCTAGCTGTAAAAAAAACTAAAGCAAATAAAAGGCCTGGGGGAGTGTTAGAATGCCTGCCTAGCAAGTTTGAGGCCCTGAGTTCAAATCCCAGTACCATTAAAGGAAAAAAATGGTAATTCCTGATTGCTTTGATGCAGGTTGTGTGTGTTTAGAGGTGATGGAACATGTTTTAGTGGTGTCAGAAAGGGAGAAACCGAAGACACAAAAGCACAAAAGAGCAGTTTTTGTGTGGGGGTGGGAGAAGTCCTCATTCACCTGGTAAGTGTGTCCATCTGTCTGTTCTCTCCCTCCCCCACCTCCTTCCTCTCTCTCTCTGTCTCTCTCTCTCTCTCTCCTTTTTCTTTTGGTTTTTTGAGACAATGTCTTACTGTGTAGCAAGCTGGCCTCAAGATTTCCATTCTGTTGGGATTTGAAGCCAGCCCAGGCAAATAGTTTGTGAAACTCTACCTCAAAAATACCCAACACAAAAAAGGGCTAGCAGAGTGGTTTAAGAGGCCCCTGAGTTCAAGCCCCAGTAACTATCCCCCCCAAAACAATACATAAAGATCTCAATTCTCCTGTCCCCACTTTCCAAATGCTGAGATTACAGAGTTCTAAGTCAAGGACCTTTCAATGGGGGATGGAGCCATGGCCCAGAATTCCAAGGACCCAGATCCACACACAGCTCCCCATCTTGCTCCCAGGGACCCCTAGCTCATCTCTGTCAAACCTCCTCTTTTCCGTTCCCATCTCAGTGATAGCAGCCTAAGATGGACAAGCGTTCTGGATCTTGTCCCGTACCTTCATGCCATACCCCATCAACCCCATCTCCTGTTCTTTGCCTCCTGAATCTCAGCCTTTTCCCTTCAGCCTCATCCCTGATCCAGGCTCCACCCTCTCCTGCCAGGCCCAGACCAGAGCCTCCTCCTAGGCTATTTAGGTTTTTGATTTCATTCTTCCAGCTCTGACCTGGCCCACCCCTGCTCTAACCCAGTACATGGCTACTCAACTACCCTTACCACCAGGGGAAATTCCAAGCTCTACGGTCCTGCCTCTGCCCACCTCCTCTCTCCTTCCAGTCTTACAGCGCCCCTCTTGGTGACATGATGGGCCACCTGGCCACCTGCACACAGTAATGCTCCTGCATCACCTTTTCACCTTTGCCTGGCATCTGGTGCTCATCCAAGATCCAGCTCCAATGGCCCCTCCTCTGGAAATCCTTTCCCTACCGGAACAACCCCAAAAATCTGTCGTATTGTCCCTGCCCCTTCACACCCCAGTCTGACCCGGGCTCCTCCAGGGCCATGCCCGGGTCTGACTCATCTCGGTCTCCACCATGGCCCAGAACCAGGCCTGGCACACCGGAAGCCTCGGGAAATGTTTAAGCAATGGGTTGCTGAGGGAGTGAACGGTGAGTGAGCGACTATACACGGGAATCGTGAGTGAGGGAATGAGCGCAGGAAGGGCTGGACAGATGGACGAGCAGGACAGGCAGGGGAAGATGAGAATCAGGCTTCGGGTGGGACGAAAGGATGGATCGTGCATCCCTGGACTCAGTTCTCCAATAAAGCAAAATGCGTTCTGAGCGCTTCCCTTCATCACAAGCCCCTCTGCTTCCCGTCAGAGCTACGTCCAGAACCCCAATACCGGTCATTCTGGAAAGGGCTTTACCCAGCCAGACCCGCAGAACTGGCTGCCTTGCGAGCCCCTCTTGCGCCTCTGCGGAGTCAACTTGGATGTTGACTCGGCAGGTTCTCCATCTATTGGCGGACTGGCAGAGACTGGCGTCTCCCAGACCCTATTGCCGTCCGACTTGGGTTGAGGCTCCGCCCTCCCGGGAAAGCGCCTTGAGTGGACTGCGGATGTTTATTGGCTGGATGACAGTGATTGACGTCATGGGCATCTTATCGCAGCTAGATCCCGGATGCGTGCTTCGCGTGCCAGCCCCGCCTCTGGGAAGACGGAAGGGATCGTGCTGCGGGCAGGAAGGCCATGAGTAGGGTACTCGGCGATGCTCTTCTGAGCTGTTTGCTAACCTGACCTTTGGGTCTTGAGTAGGAACTTGAGCCCAGACTCCTTGATCCGGAAGGAGCAGGGACTTAGAACCCGAGGGAAGGATTGGGGACTTCTGGGTCTGAGGGACGAGACGGCTGGGAACCTCAGAGGTTGGAGCTGAGTTCAGGAAGATCCTGAACTCCTGGATTCCGAGTCACTGGCCTGCCCAGGGATGACAGATTTGGGGTTCAGGATGTTATGAGTCTATTTATGGGATTGGAACCAGCCTTGCCCCCAGGCGTCTGTTCCGAGTCGAGAGGTGGAGCCCTGACTGGAGATCGAGAGGGAAGAAAAGGAACTCAGAAGGGGAGGAGACTTGAGACTGACGTGGAGACAGCAAGGAAAACATAGTATCAGTGGGGAGATAAAAGTAATAAAACAATAATTATAGCTCTCTTGAACTGAATTTACTGTGGCCTGGGTTCTTTGCTAATCATTTTATGTAATTGTTTCATGTCTTCCTCATCTCAGTGCTAAGAGATTGGATTATTATTATTATTATCCCCGTTTTACAAGTGAGAAAATTGAGGTCCAGTGCAGGAGAATCAAGGTATAGATGTAAAAAAGAAGATAACGGACGTAAAGAGACAGGAGAAGCCAAAACACAGATGAAGGCAAAGAGATAAACAGGCAGACAAGGAGATAAACACAGGCCCAGAAAGGTCAGACGAAAGGAGAGAGTCAGAGTTGAGATTCCTGGGAGAGGTGCTGGGTCCTAGGGGAGGCAGGACCAAGGATGGGGACTTCCACATATTTCCTCCCTGACTCCATGATCCCGGCTTGTCCAACCTTTTTCTTGCTATGGGGTTGGGATCAAAAATAGTGATTAGGACAAGGTAGGTATGTCATTAGCCATTAGGAGATGATAAGAAAATGATTCATGGGGGCGCCCCCCAA